ATACAGGATTAAACTTGAAAAATAATACAATATTGCTGAGAGAAAAAAAGCAAGTTTAACCAGCAAACCGTAACTACCTATACCTCTGAATACTGAGATCTCAATTTCTTGTACATAGAAGATGTCGATAGTGTTGAAAACTGAATGACCCCACCCGTAAGACCAAAGCTCAGAAATATACTTTTTATGGGTCCCAGATACTATAGCTAAATGAGCTCTATACAACGCTTGCCCTTCAGCCCAGTATAGCAGTCTGGTATCAAACACCTAGTTCTTTGCCTTGGCTCATTTTGCATAGGTAACCAACAAACAGACAGAACCACATTGTGGAATGTAAAGTTTGTGGAAACCACAACATTTACTTTTTACATTACTTAGCAGAGCCTTGAACCAAAAACAATATCTGAAACAAACCCTGCATTAGCTAGAGATTGGAACATTTTGTCCTTGTGCTTCTATATCTCTGTCCTCTACATAATTCATCAAGAGATCAAGTTATATTTTACGAAGCACTTTGTTGTCACATTGGGTCACATTCTGCAGTTTGTCAGAAAGGGCTGCAGAACAGTAGTTTTTGTCTCAGAAAGGATCAGCACCAACTGAGCAGGATGCCAAAAACTGCAGCACTGTGCCTTACCCATGCTTCAGAAGAAGAGACTCCATCGGCCACTGTGTCAGTGAACAGGAGCCAGTGTGACAGTATCAGAGTTCACTTCAGGAGACAGCCAGCTTGGGGAAGGGAACCGCCATCTCCTTCAAACAACAAACCAACAAATCAAACAGGATGCGTCTGTCGGAGGCGGGAGATGAAACAGTTTGTGTCTTGTTTTATCCTGTTTCCCTTTCTGTGAGCCTGGCTGAACACAATAGACCACTGGCCCCGGGATGCAACGTAAATGGAAATTTAAAGGGGATTCTCTGAGGACATCCCCCTCCCCCTTGTCCTCTGTCTGTGAAGGTTCCTGATGGGCCACACCTAACAATGCTGCATTTCTCCTGCAGTGAATTTTGCAGGATGAATGCAGAAATCCTGCAGGATTTGGAGGTTAACATCCTTGCAGTATTCCACAGGATATGTGCAGAAATCAAGCATTTGGCTCCAGTATCCTGCAGGATTTCTTTTACTGTTGTCTGAAAGCTTCCTGAAAACTTCCTCACTGACCTCAGTGTGTGACTCTACCATTGTATTAGGCTAAAATCGGAACATGCGCTTGAGCTTCAGTATTCCAAGGATTGTGCTTTTGTAGCACACACCCCAGAAGCAGTGCAAGCTACACTCACAGCAGCTGTACGAGCATAGGGTCAGAAGAATAGGGCTGTCTGTCATTATTGCAAAGATAGAGGTTCTGTGTCAGTGGTTATCCAACTGATCTACCTGCTTTTACCATCTCTTATTCTACTCTCACCACTGTGTCTCACTTCAGTTACCTTGGAAGTATCCTCTCTGAAGACTGTACTATTGACTAGGACATCCAGAACCATATCAAACAGGTTTCATTGTCTTATGGACAGCTGAGAAAAAGGGGCTTCAGTAATAGCAACCTGTACTTAAACACCCAAGAGGCAGTATATAAGGCAGTGTGTATATCCACAATTCATTATGGTTGTGAAACATGGACACTCTACAGCTGCTAATTTAAAAAGCTGGAGTCTTTTAATGGATTGATGTGTCGGTCTTGCTCTGATGTGTCACTCGAGGGCGACCGGATCTTGGACGGTCATCTGTCCTGCTGGTCTGCTGAAACCTTCTCTGCAGTCGGGACACAGTGGAGCGGCTTACTCCATAGTGTCTGGCAATGCTGGCACATGACATGCCTGCCTGCTGCATGCCAGTGGCCTTTTCCTTTGGCTTCTGGCGACATTCGAGGCATTATGGAATGCACAGAAATCGAACTAAGTGTGGCCTTTTTCTTGCAGTGACCTAAGCTTTGAAATAAGGCTTTTTAAAGGTGACCTGATCGGGCATTGTTCCACTTGGACCTAATTGGGTAAAAGTACACCTAACGAGCTTTCGTGTGATTGGCAAGTTAAAATGCCTCACTGCACAAGCTGTATTGCTGGTCAGAGGGCTTAAAACAAATTGACAACTTTTTGTGAAAGTACATAAGCTATAACTATCGTATTTGTCATTCCAGAAAAAGTTGCGTTTCTTTTTTCCGTCAGTAAATATGCGTCATATTTGATAATAAAATGAATTGGTCCTGGTGTGAGTGAGTGTGTCTGTGTGTCTGCCCTGTAATAGACTGTCGTCCCATTGAGGGTATACCCTGCCTTGCGGCTGTTGTTTATCGGGATGGGCTCTGCCTCCCCCATGACGCTATATTGGATAAGTGCTTAGAAAATGGATGAACGCAGAAAGCTGCTAGTCTGGAGCACATTCTAGAATATCTGCTTTGTAGTCTATTTCTGTAAACTTCTGTATTAATCAGTATTCTGCTACAGCTGGTGGCTTCTCCCATTTTTGTTTCCACTATTAATATACAATATGTTAATAGCTTTTGCACCTGGAGTTGAGTGATTGAGATAATAATTAGAAGTGCACCTTGAGGGAATGAATTGGCAATTTTCTGCTGACGTATGTAGTAGCACTTTAATGGTTTATTTATCAATGCCTGAAGTGCTTGGATTAGTTTATCTAGTAGTAAATACACTAAAAGCAAGCAGGCATGAAAGAAGAATGATGGTCTTGATGTTTATGTAAACTGCAAGATTAAAGTGGGCAAATTAAGAATAATGCAGGAATTATTTTGCCAAAGCACTTTTATTTAATCAAGAATTCATCTGGAGAACATTTTATTTTTGGCAGGTGAAAAGAATTTCGGAGTGGCATATGGAAATATAAACGTGTAGTTAGACTGGCACACAGTGCCAGTTAAGGACTGCAGAGAGACAGTTTCGTACTGGGCCAAACTGATATTTGTAGTTAATGAGCTGCACAGTTAAGTGCTGGGTAGTAAGTGGGAGCTGGCAACACGCTGTCTTGCCTTGACCTTCTTGAAGAGGCTGAGGACTATGTGCTGATAAGGGCAACAGTGGCAGGCCAGTGCTCATGATAAAGAGCACAGTGGAAGGCTAACACTAACTGCATGATACCATGTCTTATCTGTCTATAAATCCCAAAGCTGTACAGCATAGCAATTCAGGGAACTGAACTATGCAAAAAATGAATTCACACAGCCAATTCACCTCTTAAATCATTCAGTGGTATCAAAGCTTTCCAACAGCTTTCTTATTCATTTAAAATGTGCACATTTCATATCTCTGTCACACTTAATAATCCTTATTTACATTTTCCATTAAAATGTTATTTTCTATGTATGGAATAAGAAGGATAATAACTATAGAAAAATATTATTCATGTCTTGGCTATATGCCTTTTTTCTTCTTATGGATAATACTGTTTTCATGGCATAACATATTATTATTTATTACAAGAGATGGTGATTATTAATTGTTGGCTTACAACAATCTTTTTTTCCCAGTAATAAAATCAATTTTTCAGTACCACTTGGCACAATTTTTCAGTACCCCTTGGCACAGCACAGCTTTGGTTTTCTGTGTTTTTGACTTTTTAGCTGCTGTGTTAAAAAATAAAGCTAATGACAAGAGAGTTTCAGTTCCTTGTCATTTATAGTCTAATGATGAAGGGGGATAGGCCACTATATTTTTCTGCCCTTTCCCTGAGTTCATAGCCCATGGTAGAGTATTTGTTCACCTAATCTCACTGCAGTTGACATAGCTTGCCTTTATTAACACAGAATAATATTTCTAAAAGGTGACTCACACTGTGCATACATGCAAGCACATTGGTTTTAAATTTAATGCACATCCATACAGAGACAGACCTGCTAGCAGAAACAAACATTCTACATGGCTCAAACTTTTAACTGTTGGAGCCAAGAATGATTCATGTTTTGGTTTCTGTCAATTATTTTAACAGATAAGATTTTCTCTTCATTCGTGTAACATATTTTAGTCAATTGTAATCTCCTCATTGCGGTGAAGTCAAATAGGGCTGAGTCTGGTCGCAGTTAGCACTCTTTGACAATATATCTCTCACATCAAGATAAACATCTCAACATTGACACATTTCACTGGGACCAATTAGTTAGAAATTAAAAACTTTGAACAACAACACTCGTATCCTAAAAGACCGAAAAATGCCCTTTAGAATAGGCTTGCATATGTGGGTCCTTATCAGCCCTTACTTTAGGTATTTCAGTATGATTGGTTTACACTGAGTACATGACATCAATTTAAAATGGTTTTGAAAGGAAAAGACAGTCCGGAAGAGCATGTTGTGCAAACTATATGTCTTAATCTGCAATTCTGACCTCCTTGTTCTTTAGCACACAGTCACTGTAATCAGAGGGCCTTTGTTATGTCCTGTGATATGCATCTCTTTATAGTATCTCATAAAGCAATGATTATGTATAGTCATGCATTCACAATGCTATGTTTTGAAGTGTATTAAGATTTTGAATAGATGCTTGTACATTGAGGATCCTCTTAATGTGGCAGTCTAGAAATTGAGATTCAGGCAGCTGTTTATATTTTCTTGTGGTTTCAGTCCTTTATTTTTGGTGGTGTTAGTCCTCATGCATTCTTCTACATTTCTTATTATGTTCCCTATTCACTTTCCAGCTCCTAGTAGGAATTTATAAAGCTATTTTACTGGGGAGCATGAGCTTACAAGTGAAGCAAATCATCACTCCACTATCCCTTTGTCCTTTCGTGAAGCACTCCGGTGTTACACTCAAATACCTCCCCCACGATTTCCTGCTGTTTATCTCTGAGAACCTTTGCAGGCTGGAGGTTGCTGCAGCAGCTCTCAAGCCACTGTGTCGAAAGAGCCAGCAAGGTGAAATAAGTTCAGACTGCACACAACAGGCTGTGATTTCAAAATGAGGAACCAAAGTCGAATCCTAGGAACTGCGGACAGTGAGGTGGTGGCACGCAGAGAGTCATTCAGTGTGGTTACTGTGCTGTTCCTCCTCCAGGCCAGCTGGCGGTCCCTGCGCAGCGAATTTGCCAACCTCAACCCTGCTCAGCTGCACCACATGCTACGGGGGTACAACCCTGGGCGCTCGTGTCCTGCAGGCTGGAGCCCTGCCGCAGAGGAGGCAGATGCTGCCATGAGAACAGGTGAGAGAAACCCACTCCTCACCACGCAAACAAAACAGCACACACCCCAACCACACAAGGCCAAGGAAAAATAGGCGGAAAAGATAAATTTAGAACAATTTTCTGCTAGTTACACAAAGAATGTTATTTTTCTTGTACTTTCAGCACCTGTAAGGCTTGCTGTTTCAGATAAAAATACACTATGAGCTAAGTAACAGCTGAAGGACTGTAGTGTGCTAATTGGAATTATTTATTTTCCATGAGCAGGAGTAGATAAGCAATGACAAAATGTAAATGATTCAGTTTAAAGCCTTAGTTTGGTAAACTAGCGTGATCTCTTCAAGAAGGTCTTCCAGTTCTTCAGTTTTTCAGGGTCAGGTCTTCTATCTCTCCCTGCACAAGTGAAAAAGCAGGGAGTCCTTCTGCCCTGTCCAGGGGGCTGGTTGGGGTGTCAGGCAATGGCATATAAACCATCTACAAGCATCATGTTGTGGAACCTTGGAACTAAGGAAGAGTCTAGTTGCCATGCCTCTATATATTGAGTCCAGTTGCCATGCCTCTGAGAATTTAGCACTCTGCAGACACCTGAAACTGAAGGCACTCTGTTTCAATCTGCGATTTGGTGTGAGGAGTTGTTTTTGAACAGCCAAACTTCAGGGATTCTACTACATCTGCCTTTTGTTGATTTCAGGTTTCATTTGTGATTTCACAGATCATTCCCAATCAAAGGACTTGAATCTTAATACTCAATTCTTAACTTGTGCCCATTGCTTTTCACTGCCTGTAGCTGATATTCTGGAAGGGTTTGACAATCACCCTCCCCTGATCCTGCCCAGCAGTAGTTTCCACATCGAGCTGGGGAAGCCAGTCAAGGAGCCAGGTCTGCTGTCGCAGCTCAGCCAGCTGAAGGACTTCCTGCAGCAGCTCAGAGCAACCGAGCCGTCTGCCAGCACCATGCAGCCCCAGCAGGTAGAGACCCTCAGCACGGGGAAACCAACATTCCTGCGATCACTGCGCAGGCAGCGATGACGCTGCTGGGCTGGGGTTTTACATTTTTTAAGAAATTCAGTGGGGCATGAATCTGTGTTTTAGAAGCAACCATAAACACTTTAATAAATAGCTGCATAAAGCTTTAAAATATTTTCAAGACATCCCTGTTTTGCTGGTTTAAAAACCATAGGCTTCTCTGCTTTCTTTTTTTTCCCCTTCCAGAGCCAGCAGATTAGAGTCGAGGAGGAGGAAGAAAAAAAGAAGGTGTCCTGCTCTCCAAATGGCACGGAGGAATCTGCTTCTCCAGAGGAGGGCAGCAGTGAGCAGGCCTCCGAAAAACCCAGGGCTGAAGAAGAGACCAAGGAAAAAGATGCCTCTGTAGTGCCTCCCCATGGCCGTTTTTCACACGCCGCCTGCAGCGGTGACCTCAGCTCCTGCGAGGCGGTGCTCACCCAGAAACTGAAGAACCTGGAACTGCAGAGCAGCCTGCCTGGCCAGGCAGACCTCAGCTGCCACAAGAGACTGGCCTTGGATCCCTCCTGCCTCCTCACACCCCCCAACACACCCCAAGGCCTGGAGCTGGCTGAGGCAGAGGCAGACCTGCAGGAAGGCACCTACAAGCACATCGTAAATGGCAGCAGCCCAGACAGGGAAGATGGTGAGTCTTACATAATAAAAATAATAATTGCTTACAATTATATAGTGCTTCTCTTGACACTCCACTCAAAGTGCTTTACAGGTAATGAAGACCTCCACCACAACCAATGTGCAGCACCATCTGGATCATGCGACAGCAGCAATAGTGCACCAGTACACTCACCACACATCAGCTATTGGTGGGGAGGAGAACAGAGTAATGAAGGCAATTCATAGATGGGGATAATTAGGAGGCCATGAGTGATAAAGGCCAATGGGAAATTTGGCCAGGAGGCCAGGGTAACACCCCTACTCTTTTCTAGAAACACCCTGGGGTATTCAATGACCACAAAGAGTCAGGACCTTGGTTTTACATCTCATCCGAATGACAGCACCTTTTTATGGTATAGTGTCCCTGTCACTATACTGGGGCATTAGGACCCACACAGACCACAGGGTGAGCACACTTACACCTCTTTCAGCAGCAACCTTAGTTTTTCCCACCAGGCTCCCATCCAGGTACTGACCAGGCTCACACCTGCTGAGCTTCAGTGGATTGCCAATTGTGAGCTGCAGTGTGATACAGCTGCTGGCCATGTCACATAAGTCAAGCTGATGTGTTTCCTGCTGCTTTGTTACCATGAAGCCTGAATATGAGGGCAGTGAGAAACAGAACAGATCGAGTGCACTTGTATCTGATTGTAAAAGTTTGATAATATCTAAGAAGTTCATACCAGAGATTCTCTCTATATACAGTACTCTCTATATAGAACCAAGGTTAAGGCTATTAAGGCTAAGGCTATGCTTCTGTACAAGCTGAAGTCATACGTTATTGGATGATCTCACAAATTGTAATAGTAGCAAATTGTTATACAAATGAAGTCTGAAATTGTAGACTGCTCACACATAGAATGGGGATGGTTTATGGGTGAGACTGCACTTTTTAGAAAATTGGAAATGTAATTCTTCTCGTCTTATGAAGGAGAAAAATAACTAGGCCACTGTACGCAGTTTTACTTACAAAACTTGCACTGGCAGAATCAGGTCCAGTTGTTTTGATCTGTTTCATCACAAACAGTACCTCTCATTGGACAGAAATGCACTGGCTGAGAAGTGTGAAACACTCAAGAACCACCATCATGAAGATACCGTATAATCATTCAAAACTGTTTTTATTAAAATTTCCTTTTTTCAATTATTGACCCAAATAAAAAACAGTGTGTCTGTCTTTCTGCAGTTCGTGCTATCAAAAACAGCGTGCAGACTGTGTGCTTTGTTCACAATTCTAAAATCGTTTTTTGATCCACTGTTTGGATCAACCAAAATGCCTTAGTGCATTATCTGAGAAATTAAAAATTTGTTTTGATTCTGCCAGTGTGCAATCACTGTCTTTCTGTTGCAACTTTACATTATTTTTCTTCCCGTTAAAAAATGCCTATCTCCTCACGGGTCCCTACTATCATAAGAACCTTGAACAGTACAAATAAAGAATTCCTTTGCAAAGCAGAATAGCTGGACTGTGAGAACATTCTGTTTATCTCTGGAGAGCACAACATAAATGAAGTCTAAATGTTTCTCTTTTTACTGTTACTGTTCAAACCAGGAGAACTTCCTTAAGAATGAGGTGTTGGCCTTTGTTAGCTCTTACTGTTCTTTGTGAGTCTGTGTTCAAAGCAGGGTGTGTACAGTTTCTTCTTGAAAACCTTTTTTTTAACAATTCAACATTCCTTTCTGATTTCCCCATTGTTCTCAAAGCTATTATTGTACAATTGTTTAAGAAGCTAAGTGTGTAACTAAGTCTAATAGCTGCGTGGTTTTTCAGTGGGGGTGTGAAATTGTATCGTGAGGAAGAAACAAAAAACATTTTCCTTTCCATCTAATCTAATCTGATGACTGTTTTTGCACCTTTCAGATCTGTTTAAATTGAAATATCAACAATCGTATCTCTAAAAGCACAATCAGGTCAGTGATAGGTAATAAATAACTTAGAAAAAGGGGAATTTCAGGCAAAAATCCACTCATGTTCTATAACAAATTTTTCATTAAGGAATTGCACTAGGCTGTGTACTAAAGAACATAAGAAAGGTTATTAACGAGAGCAGGCTTTCATTCCATCTTGCCTGTTTTATTCGCTAGTAGTTGATCAAGGATCTCATTCAGCCATTTCTTGAAAGAAGCCAGGGTATCAACAGCAACAAAAAGCCTGGCCAACTATTTTAAAAGCTAATCTGTTTGTCTTTGCTGTCCTCATTATTGATGCTCATTATTGATGCTCTCCATTTCCAGAATTTTTATTAGCTGATTTTACATTTAATTATTAAACCATAAATGTTCAAAAATTATAAATTTGCTAGTTTTTAAAATATATTCTAAAACATGTAAACATTAGTAGCAAAGTATGAATACCTTTATTTTCCAAATCTTATATAATCCATGGTGTACTGTAAATTAATCTCATTTTAAATACAGAGGGGTTTTTGTCTTGCAACTATAAATTATATACACATGGCATTTTCCTTTCATAAAGATATGATGGCATCGTTTACAATATGTCCTGACAAAAAAAGCTGGGCCAATCCTGATCATATGACATTCATCATTTTGAAAGTTATCTTTTGGCGATTTAGTGCTAATATGTAAACCTCTTTTGGTAGCAAGAGTAATCCTTTAATCTAGCACAGTAATTCCAGTGAAGTGGTGATGTAGAGAAGCTGTCACCGAGCCACTGTGGGAATTTGCAGTTGGTTTGATGCATGGAATCTAAGTCACGATGGGAATTGCTGGTGTTGGGGATGTCTGGCAGTAAACTGTGTGATTGGAGATTGCAGTAGCTAATTGATCAGGGTGATCCTGTAAACACTATTGCATTTTGCACCCCAGTCTTCTTGCAAATACAGTAAGTCACGGATATGACAAAACTCCCACTGGGTTTGATTGCTGCCTAAACCCACTAGAATGTGCATATGAATATACAGATTGCAAACTAAATGCTTTCTCTGTACAAACTTGCATCCACATCGCCAGATGTAGAAAATGGTAGCCAGTGAGTTACTCAGATTCTGTGTTAATTTCTAACATTAAGGAATGTAGACAATCTTCTTTAAAGACGGATTCACTTCAGTTTCCAGTTTCTAAATATTAGGCTCCCACTAATCCCACAACTTTATATCCCACAAATTTATAAACCTTAAATGTTACTCTTGTCCTGTTAGACCAGCGACGTCTCCTCCCCATATCTCAGACCCTAGCCAGATTTTATTATCCTCCTGCAAACTCCTGCAGCCCAGCAGTGACTCCCTTCAGGAAAAAAACACTTGGAAGGAAAGGTTTTTTGCAAAGGAAACACCACTCACCTGCATTTGTTTTCCCTAGAGGATTTTCAGGCAGTTTTTTACCATGCAAAACTGTTGTTGCAGTATCGTACTTTCACTGTACTGTTGCGCTGTTGTACTGTTTGTGCACACAGCAGTTTTGTCTGATGGTATGAGTATGATAAACTCAATCTCCAACTGCAGCTCTAGTCTGAGGGGGATGAGGTCTACAGACATGGGAAGTGTTGCTATAGAAACACGATGGCCCTGATTCAATTTCCCTCCCCACAATGTGCCTGTTGTTGTTTGTATCCCCAGAGGAAAGCCACTCTCTGGGCTGCGGGGCCCAGAGGAATGCCGAGGAAGAGGAAGAGGTGTTCACTGTGGAGCTGGAGAGGGGCCCTCATGGACTGGGTCTAGCCTTGGTGGATGGATTGGTGAGTATGTCTGTGCTTTTGTTTCTGAGATGCAGTCTTTGTACTGTATGTAGAATCTGTATGTAACGGCGCTGCTTGAATCCGAACGTGAGCAGCAATCCCAGGTCATGAGTGGAACACAAGTGTAGGGCAGAGCAGGCAGGCATACTGAACAAAAGGAACAAGTAATAGGTTTATTCATGCTGAAAAAAAGAAGAAAGACCTCACACCTGAAGAAGGCTCCACGGCTGAAACGTTGTGTTTTCTTTCTTCCTTTTTCAGCATGGAATAAACATATAACTTGTTCCTTTGCAGCCTACGCATGCTGATGCAGCTACCCCACCTGAAATACTGAATAAAAGACAGCACAGTCCAGAGTCATAGTCAGAGAAATAACCAAAAATTGTAGCTGAGTAAAAACAAGTAAACTCCAGGAATTTCAAAGGCACAGTCAAAAGCAAAAGCATAGTTTGTAGCTGAGTAAAGCATAGAGGAAACAATGGAACAAGAATGCTGAGACTAGTATGGAGACAATGGAGACTAGTCTGAAATATCCTGTGTGTAATGAGGTAAGTGGTGATTAATTGTGCGTAGGTCTATCCGATCTCCTGGACCCAGTGGCAACAGGACACTCATCTTCTCTTGCTAACACAGGTCCTTTTTTCCACAGTGGTCTTGAAGGCAGTAGTTTGTCAGTACTGTCCAGGATTTGGTACTTAAATATTGAAATTTCCTCATGTTTTTTTTTTTTTAGTTCAAGACTAAAACACTCCTAGCTGTACTGTTACTCAAAGCTCCTCCTTTTTTTCAACACATTTCCACTTATCAAAAAGGTTACAGTGAAGATAATCATTAGCAAGAACTTTTGGGATACATAGGTCTGCAGTGAACACTGGGTTGTTGTGTTTTAAAGTTCACTCTAATTGAAAACGGAGTAGGATTAGCTGTGGATTTGTCTCCATTCTTTCTGCCAGTGTTTTCGTTCTTGTGTTGTCGAGACAGTGTGCTACTTTCTAATTAACAAAGACTTCTGCTATTGTGCAATAGAAATGTTTGCATAACTGCCGCTGATTGAGACAGTAACTCCGTCAGCTGAGCAGCTGACAGCAGGTCAGAAGGATTAATATTAGGAGCATGACCCCGTTCTATTTAGCAAGTGTAAGCTTTATGCAATTCAGTGTAACTGTTTATAGGAAACTATTACATTTGGAAAATTATAATTAAAGCTACGTTTGTGTAACTTTCTGTGTCTTGAGATGCCATCCTCAAATGAAAATGAAGGTAAATAGGAGGGTGTCTTTCTAAGCAGCACCCAGCTAACCTCGTCCTTGTGTCTTATGTATTCTTGTGATGCCTCGATTGTGGATCTGTCTGTGTTTGAGCTTCATGAGATCAGTTATGCACACAGTGCCTTTAAATAGATCACTGCTGCAGACTTCCAGACTCGCTGCAAGCTGTATCTGTATACACAGCCTCTACAGCACTCCAGAGTACTTGTGTCAACATCTTCCTAAGCTGTACTGTAATCATTATTGCATGCTTAGCTTTCCACGCTGTATATGTTTATTTTCTGTCACACAGCTTCACTTTGGCTCATTCTGTTTCCCAGTTAAAAACACTTAAGCTGTGTTGATCACTGACTCCTTTCCTGTTTCTGTCCCTGGGGCTCAGTTTACAGGTGAGGATGACCACTAATCCCAGAGCCCATTCTAAACTGACATTGATCCAGCAGTGTCTGAGTATGACATATTGTATCAATGTATAGTGGTGTATTTATTTTTGCCAGTTGTTGAATGAGATGACCCAACAATATGGTTTTCACAAGAATATTTGAGTCATACGGGCAATATGTAAATTACCATTAATATTTATTAAAAGGGGATGGCACAGCGATGCAGTGGTTAGCATTGCTGGCTTGCCGGTTCATACAGTATGTTCTTCCCGTGTTCAGCTGGGTCTCCTCTGGGTTCTCTGGTTCTCTTCGTCTGTCCAAAGAGATACTGGTACTGTAGGTTCATTGGCTTCTCGAAACAACTTTTCTTTTGAACTTTATATCTTTTTAACTTATGAACTTTTCTCACCCAGGGCATATCCTGCCTTGTACCTGTTGCTTGCCGGGATAGGCTTCAGCACACAGTAACCTTGTTTTGGATACATTAAAAATGGATGGATGATTGATTAAAAAGGGTTTATTCAAGCAAGCCCTGACATTCCTTGGAGAGTATAGTCCTGATTTGTGCCCTGTGTTTCTGGGATGGTGTCTGGCTGCTGAGACATTTACCAGGACTTAATGGCTTTCTGGTGGTGTCTGTTATGGATTATGATAAAAAAAACAACACCCCCGGTGCATGAATATATTTTGATTAATTGAGATCTAGTGAGATGCCCTGATTGCTAATTATGTTTTAAAGGGATGTCATTATAAAATTAGCAGAAAATGCAATACATTATACATGTTGCAACATCCACTTCACTAACAATCATCAAAACAGCAGACAAGTTTGTGAGAAGAGGAAACACATGACCTCGGTATGAAGCAGGATGGGTCTTCCTCAGTGTGATGAACTGTTACCAGGGAGTTCCAGGTCAAGCCCTGATTCTGCCCTGGAATCTGTGTCGCTCTGAGAGAGTTAAGAGCCTTTTTGTGCTCCTTTGGGCGAGGCATAAACTGAGTAAGTTACTTTTTGACATGCGTCACAACCATCTGGACCCAAAAAAGTCTCTAGGTACTGTGGTGGTATTCTGAAAAGGAATGTCTCAGTCTCAACAAATGTTGCCCAGGGAAGACTTCCAGGTTCACAAAGTAAAACCTCCAGCAGGCTGTTCCAGCTTTAGAGATTTTTTCTACTTTATAATAATCAATGCTGCAATTTGTTTTGTTGTCCTGTGGAAAAAGCCCTATGATGTCTGTCATCTCCAGAAAGGCAAACAGCTGAAAGGGGGAAAAACATTAAAATAGCATGTGTTCCGACTCAACACTCTGCCTGCGATGTCAGACACCAGAGGTCTGCAAGAAGTTTATTTCTCAGGTCTGATTCAATATTTACAAAACCCAAATTGTTAACTTTCATGGTTTTTAAATGTAAGATACTGAAATGAGTGGAATTTAATTCTAAATTAAGAAGGGCATTAATATAAAGCACAAGATTCGGAAGTGTCGGTCGAAGTGTGTTTGAGCCCGACTTCGGTGCTATTTTTAAAAGCTGTAACCAACAGGAGTTGTAATCAAGTACTCGTGTACTGTAATAATCAGTCCCAGATGGCTGAAGGATGAGTATTTGGTGCCCTCCTCAGGTGATGAGGGGGTACTGCAGTCTTTAGTCTCCGCATTTTTTCTGACAGTGAGTGGCGTGTACTGCTTCTACTGTATAAATAGACCGTTTGGCAGAACAATATTAGAATTTACCATTTAGAAATTAAAGGAATGGTTTAAAGTGAATGTTTGTTTTAAACATGAAACTCAGATTACTGGTTTTCAGAAGAATAGGTTTACATCCTATGGCAAAAGTTGATGATGATGATTGGAAATTGAAAATGATGGCAATGATTTATGGACTTAAATGGAATGCAAAGATTACACACATTTTATTTCCAAGAAAACACAAAAAAGAAAATTTCACATTTATGGTATTTTGATTTTAATACAGTATTTATGACCTTGTTGTACAATATATACTGACTATTAATATTACTATTACCTTTTACAGCTGGTTTGGGGGTCTGAGTGTTCAAAATAAAAATATTAATTCTATGATACCAAACAGCAAATAAAATCATTATTAAAATTGTTATTTGCCCTAGTCAGAGCTTTAGAAGCTACTTTGGGAAACAGTGTAAACACCTGATAGAATGTGTATTTTATGATGGAAGTTGTGATTTTTTTTTACTTAACATTTACAGTACTTTACTTAATGTTGCTGGGGCTTTCTAATGCAAGTTTCCTTCTGGATAATAAAGTCCTGGTCCTTCTATGCCAACTTACAAAGGGGTATTTTGTTGCCCTGTCACCTCAGGTTTTGCCAGAACAATTCACCTGCGGGACATATTTCTTATAAAAAGTGACTAGCATTTCTGAGCAATAAACTCTGAACAGGCAATAAATTCCTAGGTAAATATTTCTAGCAAAATGGTTGGGTGTCTGTCTGGCTATCTATACTAATCCAATCAAAACTCTACTATACTTCCAAAATGTCTGGCATCTCCTTGTTCATCCTGGAAGGGTGTTCTTTCCAATACATATATACATCTGTGTCACTGGTCAGAGCTATCTATGCCATGCTGATGTACATTTCTGTGAAAATAAATAGAGGCAACAGAGCTGGCTTTGTGAGCTCACTTTGACTTTACAGACGCAAAATAACAGAATGAAAAATAGTCAGAATAGTTCTGTCTCCTGTTGTACTGTGATTGGACAAAGATGTATTTAAAATTCATACCCATAATTAACTGCAACCTCTGCTCCATAATCCCACTCTAATCTGGATGCTCATTCTAATACTATTTTAGGTTAAATCTAATTCTGGGTTGTGTTTTTTTTCACAGAAAACGCAGCTGAAAATGAGTGGAATTTACATCCGGTCTGTAATTCCTGACTCTCCTGCGGCCATGTGTAAGAAGTTGCACATGGGGGATCGCATTCTGGCTGTCAATGGAGCAAGCCTGGTGGGAATAGACTACAGCATGTGAGTGTTTTGGAAAGGGATTTGGCCGTGTCGATCTCCACCTATTCAGCAGCTAAACAGAAAGAGATAAAGGAAATAATGGGAAAATGTCTTATTTGCTATAGTTAACCTAAAGCCAGTGAATGTATCACTGAACTACTATTTAGAGTTCCTTAATAAACATTTATTTCACATGTGGGGTCAGTTGGAGTAAGATGACCAGATAGCCTGCTTTCACTAGTGCTAGGCAACTGCCTCATGATATTGAACACGGCAATGAGTCTGTCTACTGTACTCCAAGGACATTTTCTGTGCAGTGTTGAAGCTGAGAGAAGCTAGTGACAGCCTTCTCTGTGCCTTTCGCCACTGGAGGTGAGAGCTGCGAATTGATTTATTTATACCTTTCTGTCCCTTTCACTGAAGAGGTAGGGAGCTGATTCGCTCTTCGGGCGACCGGCTGAGATTACTGGTGGCCAAGTCGGAGCTGCGAGGATCGTCATGCATCTCGCCGACAAACTGTTGACCTGCAGGACATTCGTCAACCTGCCTGGCCAGACCCTAACCAGGACGTGCACTTAGAGACTGCGCCGGAACTTCAGATGCAGTGTATGTGTTCTTGTTTTGTGAATTGTTTTATAAACAGGATAGTATTTAAATACAGTGACTGTTACAAAGTGCAAAGCACTTCTCTGGGTCAGGTGGATGTATGTGAAGGATTTTCAAGAATTTAGGTCTTTTTTGTTGTTGTTTGAAGCAGCATTTTGTGTTGTTTTTTTTTTTGGAACTCGTTGCTATAGAGTTGCTCTTCAGATTGTTTTTTTTAATCTACTTGCTCAAGACTGAAACAATTTTACAATGTTACAATTCTCAAAAAACAATATGCTGTTTGATACTGGGTGGCTCGGAAAAAATGGCCAAAAATGTGGACGGCTTATTGTTTTTAATTATAATATGTTTAATATACCATCAAGTTATTAGTGCTCGAACACTGTTTTAGCACAGTCAATGACAGACACCTAACAGATAGTCTGTTGTAGATCTGGAATACTTTGGCTCTGTGAAGTGTGTAATCCCAGAATTGCAATTTTGTCTTGATTACAAAATAAAGTTCTAGGTCTTTATTGAAGACAGATGACATTTTTTGGCAGCACAACTGGCAAATTCAGCATCATACAGACCACTGCTCATCCTGGGGATCCACAAGAATTGCAGCTGTCAAGAGTTCAGAACTGAAATAGTGCCTTTGTGCAGAGCGCCGACAGGACAGATTCACCTGTTAGGTGTCTTTCAGCCAACAAGCCTCAGATGTTCTCTGTATCTGTATTCATTACACAACCAAATTCTGTCATTTTGTCATAAATAATCACGGTTTAATATACTTTTATATCTTTACTATGTAAAAATGTAAAAACCCTATCTTAATTTTATAGGGCCAATATTTTATACAGTATAAGCAGAAAAGTCATTTACCGTTTCAGAGTGTAAAATCCTATTATTATGATTTGAATCAGTAGTCAGCCTGACAGATCTGGCGGATGTATCAGACTGATTGAGCTGGAATAGACAAAATGGGTATTTAGTCAGAAGGGCTGCCCTTTTCTCTATGGTTTGAAATGTCTCTTATTAAAAGACGAACATGGGGAAGTATCCGGTGTATCAACCCCTGGGTCCTGATTCATCCTGTACACTCTGTGCTCGGGTCGGACTGAAGTTTGGGTTTTGTCTTTCAAACCTCATCTTTTTCTGTTGTTACCTGTAAGACAGTGTTACTTCATCTGTTTTCATGAAAAATTCTGATTGTGATTTTACAACGTTTATATTGACAATTATTTTGTTATACATTAATTATACTGTATATGATTTGTCTTTTCATTAAACTAAGTAAGAACTGAATAAATGTGTCTGTACCTTTGCAATATAATAAATGCTAAGGTAATGCTGAATACAGGTAAGTGTTTTTCTTTTCCTCTTTCTAAAAAATGTCTCTCGTACCAGGGACCAACTCTCTAAGATTCTCCTCACTGGAGGACCGCTTAGGCCACCAATAAAATGATGGAAGAAAAAAAGTATTGATATAACTGTGCCTCTCTGTGTAAATTGATACTGTAAATGATTACAGTAGTCCAATACTTCAGTGGTTTTAACAGTTATATTTTCATAAAATTCACATGATGTTTTAATTCTTCCTCCTGGTTGTATGTTTGATTGTGAGGGTTGTCTTTTAGGTTTTTAGATTAGTGGTTTGTTTAATATTTACATTTAATCTTAGTTTGTTCTTATTTAAACTTTTGTACATTATGTAAATTAATGACAACAATTAAAAATCAGACTTATGACTCTTATCATGAATCATGACTGTATACCCCAAAGAAGAGGACATGCAGGACTTAAGATGATGTAAAACCTAATGACGCCTTAACCCAAAATAATGATCACAGTTTATGATGGAGCAGTCGGCGAACTCCACACTGTAGTCGTAGTAAAGTGTCACTTGTGTGGGTGACTCTGGGGGACCTCCCACAAGGCCAGATTCTTCAAGGGAGATGGCAGGAGAGAGGATGGACTCCTGGGAGTATGTATTATCCTTGAAGATCTTCAGCCTGATGCTTCCAATTCCCACTCGCCCCTGTATTCGATTTATTAGTCCATATACTTTGATGCTGGAAGGAACCACATCTTCGAAATGCCCTGGGTGAGATCGAACACCATCGAAAGCTATGAGTCTGAGATTCAGGAGAAGGAACCTGTGTGAGCCAAAAGACAAAACACATTAGAGGACCTTTCTACACAGCAGTATAAGACAACTTATATAAGACAACAACTTAGACAAGACAACAAGCCATGTGATCTTGTGACTGAAATGAATCAAAAACTGGACAGAACACTTGCCAGCTTTGGCTAACCTCTTGTCTAACCTCTCAGGTACAGTGCAAAGTCCATGTCAGAACTGCAGTCATATGTTGATGGAGCACATGTACCGAGCACCTCTGTGAAGTGCTGGTTCTGTTCTAAAATAATCAAGAATGGTGTTCTGGTTTTAAGAACTGGTTTTAAATGCTCAGTTTCACTCAGTAAAACTGCAGGATGATGATAAAGTGTAGACTGACAGTACATACCAGTACATGTCCTGCATTTATTCTAGCAATGATGTTTTGTGCAGATAGGTACCTCTCTCTGATGGGGGCTGATGGCTTCCAGAGCGCCAGCTGACAAACGGGGCAGCGTTCCAGCGTCTCTCTGGTGATCACCAAGTGGTCGGCTTCTGCACACACGAGTCGTCTTGCTTCTTCTTTTTCATCTTCTTCAGCTATTTTGGTGTCTACCTCATCTTTGACGCCTTCCTCTTCCTTATTGAGTTTCAGATCTGCCAGTCTGAAAAAGAGTGTTAAAGTGATTTTGAATTTGATTCTTGCCATCTTGCAAGCATTGGTCTGAGATGCACTTTTCTTTCATGAAGCAACAAACAAATGACCTGTCTTATATTAAATCAGAAAGATAAAATTTTAAATTCCAGGTAGATAACAGTATTAAATGTTTGATTTTTTAAAACAATATTCAAGTATTGAAAATGTCATTATTCTGTTTTATACACAATAAAGGCCAGTATAAGGACCTGCAGTCCCCCATGTACAAACTGTCCAATTCATTCAGTGCAGTTTGCCCAGAGGATAAATGGGGATTTTCTTCCCTTGTGATGAATGTCTCTATGTTCAAGAGCTTCTCTCTATCTGTGCCCTTCAATACATGGAGTTTACAATTAAAGTCTGAGAGGGATACAGCAGTCCTCAGCTATCCTATTATACTAATTCATGACATCATTTTGCTACAATTTAAAACACTATAAATACTATAGGTGAACCACTTCTCTCCTTTGCATTTGTCTTTTGCATCCTTCCTCCAACCCCCAACTCTACCTGTGCAGCTGCCCCTTGGTCACTCCTATCTCTGCACAGGGGTCCCGGCCTCCCCGCCATGTGGCCGGGAGATCGGTGCTCAGCCAAGTGGGTTAAGTCAAATTTACTCTGCCTAAAACATTCTTGAAACATTTTTGGATAAGAATACTATTCTGTATTGTTATTCTTCTTGAATAAATATGAAGTTGTTACGTACAGTTGTTTAATAGAATTTCTTGCATTTATGTGACTCTTCATGACCATAAGCTTTTAAGCCGTTCCTCATGAACTGAGATACTGCCCACACCTGGGTGAAGCACAGCAGCCTCACTATACGGCAGGTCAGGGGAAGCAGGGAGAAACTGCTTCACCAGTTGAATTAAGGAGGTGGGAGTGTGCACATCACTGACATGAACCATAGAAAATTAGCCAGGACACAAGGGTTAACATCCCTGCTCTCCTGAATATGTCATGGGCTCTTTAATAACCCAAGTAGTAAGGACCTTAGATTATTGTCTCAGCTAAAAGATGGCATATCCAACAGTAGTGTTCTCAGTTACATATGGGAGTGTTAAGTTTGGAGATTGTGATCAAGAGGGAAGAGCACCACCTACTGATCCACAAACATCACAACAGCAAACCTGCTGTTCCTTGGTCTCCATTGCCTATACTGACCAGGCCTGTGCTGAATTTATGAGACCTAACAAGATCAGGAGGTGGTAATTCTACTGCTAATTTTGTTTGTTGTGTGTGGCAGCCAAGGTGGTGAAAATGGCTTTTCCTTTTGTTGCTCCCATGGTGCACTGGACTGTGCTCTTTCATTTAAGGCCAAATCCAGTTAACCTCAAAACAGCAGTTTGTGAAATGAATATAAAAAACATTTTGGAACATCACTGGATCCGATTTGTGTGCCTGAGCTTCAGAGAGGAGTCTCTCCCTTACCTGGCCCTTTGCAAGCTGGTGCTTATTTCAAAGTAGTCGATCTTCCCACTGTTATCCTTCTCCAGCAGCCTGGCCAACAGGTGGAGCTGGAACTCCACACAGGGTATCCCCAGGTCCCGCATACCTGACAGGCAAACAGCAGAAACCTGTTCCAGCTGACGAAGCTGAGCAGCCCTTATTAATGTTTGCTGTAGGGTACCATGTGAAGTCTGATATTATATCCTGTTTAAACCATGGTAAAGAACAGTACAACGGAGCTGTGAACCATGCCATAACAACATAAATTGAAGTAAGCCTAAATTTGCAGGGGGGATGGTTTTGAAAATGTAAAATTCAATTAAAAAAAAACTTGCTTTGTAGTCATCTTGGCCTGGTCAGTCCTGGGATGGTAGGACTTGTAAGGAAACCCACCTGTTATTGAAAGTAGTATTGTGGATCACTGGGTGGCACAATTCCCTATGGACTGCAATATCTAATGCAGCCAAGTAATGCCCAGGGACACAGCCCTGCTCGAGCAGTGTTAGGCAGAAGTGTTAACCCTGGGGCCATCTCTGAGTGTGTGTGCTCCAGCTTCCATGGAATCAATGACATGATACCTAACTTCAGGTGCGGTGTCACCCAGTGGGGTGACTTATATGCAAAATGCTTCGGGATCATTTGGGATGAAAAGCACTATACAGTTGTAGGGTTTATTATTATTGAATAATAATTATGTTTTTATGTTTATAGCATTATTGATATAATGGTATCATTAAATATGATAATATTATTAATAATAATATAAGTAATAACTAACATGACACAATCCTTAAAAAGATATCACAAACTGTGTTTTAAGTTTCAGAAATTTAATAATTTGAGGTAAGGAGGATTTGGATACATTTAGAACCCTGTTTATGAGGATCTGTAATAATTAAACCCCAGACCTAGGCTGCTGGATAGAATGGTTTAATTGTTTATCCCTGCTCTCCTGAATATGTCATGGGCCACCGTATGTGACTGACTAAGGCTGTTTCAGATACAGTATACTTAGCCATATTAATTCTTCTCTTTGTCCAAAATAAGTATCAAAACCATGGTCAGAAAGAAACATCTCAGATACAGTTATAAGTCAAAGGTATTGTTTTAGTTATTTACTTTGGAATTGAAAGGATAAAATATTCAAGGATATTGTATTAACTTTCTCTCAGATAAGACTTATTTAGGAATGTGAGTTTGGGAGTTTTCAATGTGAAGAGAACAGGAGAGTGACAGGAGGTGATCGGGGGATGGAGAGTGGTGATTACCCAGCTGGAAGTCCTCAGCACTCAGCAGTCCTGTGCCACTCTTATCGAAACAGCTGAAGAGCTCCACTGCACGCTGGTGGTGCTGCTGCAGCCAGGAGCTCATGCGATCCAGGAACTGCTCATATTCATCCCTCTTGGCCTGCAAATCCTTGCAGGCTCTTTCCAGCCTTGCCTACATGTAAAGTAAACACCTACTGTAAAGCACAATAACTGCATTCATCAGTACCCTTTTTTCTTCTTGTTATTAATTTTCGAATGCTTTATCCAACACAGGGTCACAGGGGAGCTGGAGACTATCCCGGCGAGCAATGGGAGCAAGGCAGGACACACCTTTGTTTTGACCCTGCCTGTCCCTTGCAGGGAACACACAGACACGGACACAGTAGGGCCACTTTTCCCAGATGCCAATTAACCGACCAGACGGTGAGAGGAAAGTGGAACACCTAGCAGAAACCCACATGAACACAGGGAAAACATAAAAACTTCACAGAGATCGCAGGAACCCAGAGCCCTAGTGCTGTGAGTCAACACTGCTAAACACTACGCCACCATGCCTCCCATTATCAGTAGCAGCAGTAATGATAGTATTAGATGTTGTAATATTTTATTTTAACATTACCTAGGAGAGGTATTGAAGAATGAACTGTGCAGCATTGCTTTGGCTGTTTGACTGTGTTTTAAATTAACATGATGCATTGTGTCAGCTTTCAAGACAGCTTTTGGAAATAAAACTTTTATGTGCTTTGTACCCAAAGCTGCTAAATGTCCCATTATTAGACGTTATGTCAGTTTAGTTTTTTTTATACAAAGTCTTCGTTAAAAAAAAAGGTGTTCAGAATATTACCAGTTTCTTTTCCCCTTTAGTAAGTTTGAGCTTCTTTTTCTTCTTATTCTTCACAATTCCCTGGTCACTGGGCTGTCTGAGAGTTGGCCTGCTGAAGCCCTCGGCTGTCTGAGGTTCTTCTACAGCATCCAGAACTGTAGTTCTGGAAAAACAATGCAATGAAACCCGAACAAACACTGATCAACTTACTGTACATTTCACTACTTTTGCACTACACAGAGACAGAGTTTAACAGTGTTACAATGACACAGTATGTACTATATAAAAACTGTACTCTTTCCCAGAGAAAGCAAACCTAACGTTTTCGCATGTATTTTCATGGTGTGTCAGAAATGAAAAAGACTTAATCATAATAGATCATTTATCCACCTTAAAACTGTATACCTTAGCTGTCTCTGGTTCCAATCTGTGTTAAGCTTGGCTGTGAACTGGGTTTGGGTTATAGTCAACCATTAGCTTATTAGCTTAAGTAACAAAACCCTCCCAGGAGCTTAACAGACACTCTTATCATGGGTGACGTATGAAACATTTGTAATATACAGTACATAATGTACCTCCATCCATATTCTAACCACTTCATCCAATTCAGTGTTGCAGGGGAGCTGGAACCTATGCCGACATGAGACAGGCACAAGACAGGATATACAGTACCCTGGATAGGATTCCAGTCCATCACAGGGCAGACACAAGCACAGACTCTCGCAGCAGGGCCAATCTTCTCAAAAGCCAATTAACCTAAAAGTCTGTTTGTAGATTCTTGAAGGAAACCAGAGCACCCAGAAGAAACCCACATAAACAGAAAGAGAATATTTAAACTGCATGCAAATAGCACCCCAGGAACTGAATTCAGGGCCTCAGTGTAATGAGACAGAAATGCTAACCACTGTGCCAGCCTCAAGATACAATTACTCTTCTTTATTATGTTTGAGAGGAGTGCTGAGTCAGCACACATTGACTACAAAGGTTAATTCCACAAGGTTAGTAGGTTGTGAGGTGAGACTAGATAAGTGTTACACTTAGAACAGACAAAGGATGAATATCTCCAATAAGTTGAAAGGGTGATGTCATATCCCCATCTCCAGGTGAAGTCCAGCATGTAAATATTGGATTAGTAGAGAAAACCAATGAGCTATATTAAGATCGATACGGTCAGATTGACTTCCTTCCAAACTGCTACACATCTGACCACATTCACACCCTACACACTTATAAACAAACATGTCCACCAAAAAAACAAAAAAAAATATTTACCTGCATTATTAATTTCAAAAAAGCATGTGACTTAATTTGGCATAGAGGACTGGTTTACAAACTCCTTCAAATGGTGTAAGAGGTAAAGATTACAACGTAATGAAGTCAATGTACTCAGAGAACAAATGCACAGTGAAAATCAGTAACAAAAGGACAGAATTCTTCACTCAGGGTTGTGGTTGTCTGTGAATATTTGAAAGTGTAATATAACCCATTGCCCTATCTGGCAGTGAAGTGTGAAATCCACTCACAGACAAAGATTACACTAAATGGGACAGACACCCCATACAAGTTCTGTGCATGGAGTTTTGTAAAAACATCCTCCGTGTACAGAGAAACACTCCTAACAATGCAATAATACCGAATCAGGACAATAACCATTACAAATCAGCATACAATTGGGAGCAACCAAATATTGGTTACAGCACAGGACAACACAAATCAAAAGCAACCAAATCACAACACAAACCAGACAACACCACCTTACCCACTGGGACACACACACATGAGCACAACATAAACCGGAATACTACAGAACCCTGAACAGACCATACACACTAGCTGAATATCTGACCAGTGTGAGAAACAGACTATGACAAAGTACAGGCTCAGTGACCACAATCTTGCAATAGAAACTGGGCGACACAGGCAGATCTGACTGAAACAGAGACAGAGATGTACTTTCTACTGCACTGTGAGAAATGTTTTGGGATTCGACAAACATTCTTCCCCAAAATATAATCCCAGAATCAAATACAGCAGCCAGAATCACAACATCTCGTACTGGGATGGGGGGAGGGAACTCGATTAGAGCTTGCAGTACAGTACGCGATGTGCTGTCAGAGCCTGAGGAACAGTGAACCTGTCACTCAGTAACGTTCTACGTGTTGTACTTAACTTGTACATCATAGGACATTTAGATCGAGTTTACGTAAATGTCCTATGATGTACAGTGGTGTGAAAAAGTATTTGCCCCCTTCCTGATTTCTTATTTTTTTGCATGTTTGTAACACTGAAATGTTTCAGATCATCAAACAAATTGAAATATTAGACAAAGATAACACAAGTAAACGCAGTTTTTAAATGAAGATTTTTATTATTAAGGGGAAAAAAAATCCAAACCTACATGTCCCTGTGTGAAAAAGTGATTGCCCCCCCTGTTAAAACATAAATCAACTGTGGTTTATCACATCTTTGGAAAGCTGAGTTCAATTTCCCTAGCCACACCCAGGCCTGATTACTGCCACACTTGTTCTCAATCAAGAAATCACTAAAATAGGACCTGCCTGACAAAGTGAAGTAGACCAAAAGATCCTCAAAAGTTTTTTTTCCTCAAAAAACATCATGCTGCAATCCAAAGAAATTCAGGAACAAATGAGAAACAGAGTAGATTTATCAGTCTTGAAAAGGTTATAAAGCCATTTCTAAAGCTTTGGGATTCCAGCAAACCACAGTGAGAGCCATTATCCACAAATGGCGAACACATGGAACAGTGGTGAACCTTCCCAGGAGTGGCCGGCTGACCAAAATTACCCCAAGAGCGCAGCGACGACTCATCCAAGAGGTCACAAAAAACCCCGCAACAACATCCAAAGAACTACAGGCTTCACTTGCCTCAGTTAATGTCAGTGTTCATGACTCCACCATAAGAAAGAGACTGGGCAAAAATGGCCTGCATGGCAGAGCTCTAAGACGAAAACCACTGCTGAGCAGGCTCGTCTCAGTTTTGCCAGAAAACATCTTGATGATCCCCAAGACTTTTGGGAAAATACTCTGTGGACTGACGAGACAAAAGTTGAACTTTTTGGAAGGTGTGTGTCCCATTACATCTGGCGTAAAAGTAACACACCATTTCAGAAAAGGAACATCATACCAACAGTAAAATATGGTGGTGGTAGTGTGATGGTCTGGGGCTGTTTTGCTGCTTCAGGACCTGGAAGACTTGCTGTGGTAAATGGAACCATGAATTCTGCTGTCTACCCAAAAATCCTGAAGGAGAATGTCCGGCCATCTGTTCGTGACCTCAGAACTGAAGCGCACTTGGGTTCTGCAGCAGGACAATGATCCAAAACACACCAGCAAGTCCACCTCTGAATGGCTTAAGAAAAACAAAATGAAGACTTTGGAGTGGCCTAGTCAAAGTTCTGACCTGAATCCGATTGAGATGTTGTGGCATGACCTTAAAAAAGCGGTTAAGGCGCAAAAACCCTCCAATGTGGCTGAATTACAACAATTCTCCAAAGATGAGTGGGCTAAAATTCCTCCACAGCGCTGTAAAAGACTTATTGCCAGTTATCACAAACGCTTGACTGCAGTTGTTGCTACTAACGGTGGCCCAACCAGTTATTAGGTTTAGGGGACAATCACTTTTTCACAAAGGACCATGTAGGTTTGGATTTTTTTTCCCCTTAATAATAAAAACCTTCATTTAAAAACTGCATTTTGTGTTTACTTGTGTTATCTATGTCTAATATTTTAATTTGTTTGATGATCTGAAACATTTCAGTGTGACAAACATGCAAAAAAATAAGAAATCAAACACTTTTTCACACCACTGTATTTGTATTATAAATGTCAGTAGGGGTTGTATTGATAGTATATACTTTATATATACTAGTATATATACTAAATAAAATTTGTCTGAATTTGAATGTGAAAAAACAGTTTCTGGGGTCATTGTTGGCAGCTTTCTGTGACTCAGAGGCCATGAGCTGCAAAGCTATTGTGGTAGGAAGAATAATAAAACTTAAATTGCTATTTATTACAATTTACTAGTGAAGCTTATTACCGTATTAAGTAAAAGAGAACGACGTAAATGTTAATTTCATGTAGTCGACACATGACTTATTTACAGTACATGGTATATAATACATTAAAACTACATTTAAACATATAAAACTGTCTTACGTCTTCTGGGATTTTGAAGTCTTTAATTTCTTCGGCATCATTCGTTGTTATATCACCTGTTGACAGGGAGCTTCTAAGATATTGTTCTACTCTGTCTAAACTGTTTTTAAAATGCCAGTGTCGGGGACGCTGCAAGAGCAGATCTCTGTTGATACTCGTCGCTAAGGTAGTAAAATGTATTTCACAGACCCAGCCCACGGCTGCTCTTTATCACCACTTCGATGGAAATTCACAGTTAAAATCAGTGCCAGGAGGAAGATAATGCCTTTTGGTCCTGCCTACTCTTGAATTTCCCTAGGCGTGACGTCTGGAAAACAGCCCAAAAACAGTCAAAACCTAGGGAGGCCTCCCTCCTGTCAGTAGCTGGAGAATTCGCCTACGGACTGGAGCTCTTGCTTTCAGAAGTGATGACGGAAAAAGAGTTATATTCAGTATACAAGGGGGTGTATGTGCCAAAGCTATTGCACCCCACAGAAAGCTTGAAATATGCTGAGGACTTCACGTTTCGTAGCGACGACATAATTATTGTGACTTATCCTAAATCTGGTAAGTTTCAAACATTCTTCATTAAACAGTAGAAAATACACAAAAATTTGCTATAATGGTTTGCTATAATCTAAACATGAGGGACCAGTAATATTTTTTTTTATGTACACGAATGCCCGTTCTAGTGTTGGTAGTGAACTACTGTAGCTAGTACGGCACTATCTATCTGACACTGCTGGAGGCACGTTGATCTCGTTCTGAGTACGATACAAGAGAGTAAACTGTTGTTCTTCCAAGCTGTAATTGAAGATGGCTCCGATTCATGACCAAGAGTTTTCCTGCTTTGCCAAGGAAATTGAGGGAAGTTAAGGGAGTCACCATATTTGAATTAATTTTCCTTCAAGTTAGCATGGAACTGTCCTGAAAGCCCCTTAAGCAGTTGTAGTTTACACATTTTACAACCATGGAAATGACACTTAATTTTACTGCACAGTGAGTGTTGTTTGCTTAGCCTTGTACATTTTCATTGCACTGCTGTTATTAGTTTTGTGGGAAATTCTTCACCAGAAAAGTTGGAGACAGTCTTGTGCAAACTGAGATCAATAAGTACAATAATGCAGTGCCTTAGAACAAACACACTGCAAGGGTTTCTCAGGTTTCATTCACAGTAGAGGCGCAGAAATAAGTTTTTTTTTTCACAATTTGAGTGCTTGTTTTGTTCTTTGATAGGTAATTACAGTACTTCCTGTCATTTTCTTTAATATTCAGCAGAAATTGTTTTTCTTGTTCTGTTGCCTATGTTACTGGGGATTTGTCCGGTCTTTTAATATGCAACAGAAGTTTACTTGTTTGTGGTGTTGCTTGCAGCCTTTGAGGGTTTGTCCAGTTTTATGTTTTGGGGTCTTTGGTAAGGTCTGAGTCAACAGATCTCAGCAAATACTCTAATACCTTCTGTAACAGGCTTGAATACTAATATTGAAGTACTGGATATGTGCAATATCCCACTTCACATTGCTGGGGCCCTGTCAGTGGTTAAATGTGTTAATAAATGCCACAGCAGACTTGTTCCAGTGCTTCTGTTAAACAACGAAAAATTTCGACTGCACATTTCACAAGCTTTCATCAAGATCTCTCAAAAACATCACAGGCTGTAAACTGTCAAAGAAATCAGTACTGTCATCAATGAAAATGGAATATATAGAGAATGATATATATTTTTTCTTGATGAGATGCTCATTAATATTGTTAAATAGCTCTAGAACACTCACTGCTATTGTGCAATCTCACTGACGTTAGTGTTAGATAGTTATCTTACTTTGGGTGGGTTTAATTTTGTAATGTAGTTTAATACTGTAATTATTTAAAATGGCAACTTTGTCTTTGCAGATCAAGTATGTGTCAGTCATTTTATACTTGCTAACAAAGCTCAGGGTGTACTTGCTGGAATAATACAACTCAATGAATTTGAAAGACTATTTTTTTCCTGTCTATATCAAATAAAATATTCTAGATGCTTGCATGTCCACATACCTTCACCATCATGATCGTCCACCTCCGGAACACAACTGTACTGTAAATATGGTTTCCATATGAAAGGGCTTGATAAAAAGTGTGGATTGTGGATTGTGAAACTGCTTGGCCTTTTGAGGACCTGTGGGTGATCAGTTTGAGACCGATGATCATGGCTCTGACTGAAGATGTTTTATCCTATTTAGTAATTTAATTTGAAATTCTGTAAACTATAAAGAGGGTTCACAATAACTGAAGCTTCAGATCCACTGAAGGTATAATGTGAATGTGGCTGTTTGTCGCAGGCACTACATGGATGCAGGAGATCCTGCCACTGGTTGTGAGTGAGGGGGACTTCACGGTCGTGCAGTCCGTTCCCAACTGGGACCGCGTGCCATGGCTGGAGGAGCATCGCGCCATGGTCCTGAACCTGGAGAACAGGCCCTCACCACGCATGTTTGCCACCCACTTCCACTACAGTATGATGCCCCAGTCCTACTTCCAGAACAAGCCTAAGGTACAGTAGGAGACCTTCAGACACTGCCATGCTGCTGCTGCAAGTGTAGATGCAACCTAGGATTTATCTACTCTGGAAAAAAATTAAAATGTCTCTGTGTTATGGGACAAAGAAATTAAATTGCAATGACTGCAACTCACAACCGGAAACCCACTGAAGCTGAGCAGGTGTGAGCCTGGCCAGTAACTGGATGGGAGACCTCCTGGGAAAAATTAAGGTTGCTGCTGGAAGAGATGTTAGTGGGGCCAGCAGGGGGAGCTCACCCTGTTGTGTATGTGGGTCCTAATGCCCCAGTATAGTGATGGGGACACAATACTGTAAAAAGGCACCATCCTTTGGATGAGACATTAAATTGAGGTCCTGACACTCTGTGGTCATTAAAAATTCCAGGGTGTCTCTTGAAAAGAGTAGGGGTGTAACCCTGGTGTCCTGCCCAAATTTCCCATTGGCCATTTACGCATCATGGCCTCCTAATAATCCCTAATAATTATTTTAATAATCCCTAATAATTGGCTCTGTTATCCTTCCCACTGATAGCTGGTGTGCGGTGAACATACAGTGTGTGATATGCTGCCATTGTGGTGGTGAAGGGGAGTCCCCATTACCTGTAAAGCTCTTTGAGTGGAGTGTCCAGCATAGATAAAGCAAAGCACTATATACTGTAAGTCTAAACAATTGGTTTATCTGGTTTAAATTAAAGTCCAGATTAGGAACAGACACTCCTCTTTGTGTTAAAGATTTTGTGTTTGTGTGCTCTAGATGGTTGTGTTCAAGTGGTAGAAATAATTTCACTCATGATTGGGTAGGCTAGGCAGCTGAAGTGTCAAGAAAGATACATAAAAAGAATACTCTACATTTCAATGTAACTTCAGGGAAGGTCTGTAAGGAGCACAACAATAGCACTGTGTGTATCCATAATCCCTAAATAAAACTGTATTGAATTCACAGCTAAGAGACTAAAGTTGGTAAAGTCTAAATCCACTGCTTTGTTTAGACAGAACAACAGACAAAAGTTATCAAAGAAAACCTAACCTCTTCTTTTACAAATCCAGGTTATTTATGTCATGAGAAACCCAAAGGATGTCTTTACTTCTTCCTACCACTATTATGGAATGGCATCTTATCTGGTGAAACCAGGGACTTGGGATGAGTTCCTCACAAAATTCCTGGATGGAAAAGGTACAATCCATTTATAAAAAGATAGTCCAGTGAACACAGAAATACAAATGTCACACATTAGAAAGGAACTAATACTAAACAATAATGGTGATGAAGTAAAACTGGGACTTTTTAATTCAGGCTTAACATACAGTATAAGAGATAAAAGAATCTAGAGAGTCAGTAAAAGTACAAGCTCCATGTTGGAGCTGTGAATGCTTTGGGGGTGGAAATAGGAATCCAACTGTATTGCAGGCTGATCTGTTTCAGGTCTTCAGTGCTGCAGGTACTGCTATTCACCTGCACTGTTTTGGAAGATGTGTAAAGCAACAGTGATGCCATCATTATGGCAGTATATGTAATGTATTTAATTAATATACTGTAGCACTTTACTGCTCCATGCATAGTTTCCATTTTTGGGGCAGTATAGACTGTGGTTATAGTCATTAGAGTTTTAAAATATAGGGAGAAGTCTTCCTTTCCTAGCCATGTGCTATAGTATGTAAAAGGCATGCAATATTTTCCAAAGGTACTGTATTTTGCTTAAAGGCAATCTGTTGTTACAGTCTGTTCTCGTTGGTACAACCAGTTCCTACATCTACAGTATAAGTGATATCTAAAGAGTGCAGGGTCCATTGTGAAGGCTAATGTTGTGCATGAATGTTACATCAAGGTAATTGCATCATCTGGCTGGGTTCAAAGAACATGGTGTTGGTTAATTATTTATTATTTACTTATGCTTTTTGTAATATAACATTTAATGATACAACTCTAATAAGAGCGACACAATTAACATTTCGGTGCAGCATGTACTGTACCACATTCTATTTACAACTTATAGCATGAAACTAACAGTGTGTAAAACTACAACAATTAATGCTGGCATTCCCCTAGGGGTTAACATGTGACAGTCTCAACCTGGTCCAACCATTTTCATTATGCTCAGGTACAAATGTCTCCCAGCAGATTTAACAGGTGTATTTGAGTCCTCCAAAAATTCAAAAAGAGACATGATTCTTCACACAAAGAAAAATAACTATGAAATGGAGAAAAATATAACTTTTAAACAATTAAACATTAAACTAGACCCAAAATGATATTCATTAAGATGTCAGTAATCAGTTTAAGATGCCAGTATTATACAGTATAACAATGAACAGAAAAATAAATGTTGAGCTGATCAACTGAATGATGTTGCACTTATTTTAAAGTTTTAGTTTAATATACAGTTTTTTAGTTTAATAATATGAATCCCTAAGTGACCCTTGATGCCACTGTTCTCTTCCCTCTTTCAGTGATGTTTGGCTCATGGTTTGATCATGTGAAAGGATGGCTTAATGCAGAAGCCAAGGACCGCATATTGTACATGACATATGAGGAAATGATTTGGGTATGTCACCAGTTTTACAATATATGCTCAAGAATGGACACAATAATTAATCGCAGTAGGATATACATGTAGAAAATAAATCATAGGTTATGTTTTAATTCCTTAAGATATTACCAATTTTAAATTATTTACCCTCCGAAATTGGAATTGGTTCTTGTTTAAACCTGGGCATAGAGGTTCAGCTCCAACAGTGTGCAGGCAGCTCCTGCCACAGATGATTGTTCATCTTTCAGCACACTGTGAGCTGCATTTGGCCAAACAGCAGATGTAGTGCCAGTTGGTGGAGCAGTGAGTCTTTCACTGATGGCACTGCAAAAACACAGATGAGAACAAATCAAAGAATGTTTCACCAAAACTTTTCTTTGTGAAAATTATGCAGTGACACTGTCAAACACATGTCTTCCCTTGGAGAATCACAGTTGACTAATGCCACGTTGTAACAGTACATTTGTGTATACTGCATTTCTACTCAGATTTCAGTTAAATGCCAACTGACACCTTTTCTGTGGTCTGGTCTTCACAGGATCTGAAGGACTCTGTTTCCAAAATCTCTGATTTCGTTGGAAAATCCCTGAGCACTGAGCTGATTGAGAAGATAGCTGATCACTGCACGTTCAAGAACATGAAGCAGAACAAGATGTCAAATTACTCTCTTGTTCCAGAAGAGTTCATGAATCAGAAAAAATCGGAGTTTCTCAGAAAAGGTAACCTGAGCTTTGAGACTCATCAGGAGAAAATTCTGTCACATACAGTAGTACTGTACATGGTTATGTTACAATATCTTTCCTTAGTACATGGACCTAAATTCCAAATTACTCCACAGTAGAATTATATTAACCTCACTCAATATCCTTTCTCTCATCAATACATATATCAGAGATCTTAGATCTTCTATAAAAGATTTAAAGGATTCTAAAGGTTTCAGTTTTTCCTTTTGTGCTCGAATCTCTAATTTCTTTTTGTGCATGCACCACTGGTAGAACTTGAAAGATAAATGGCCTGTTTGATGGCCATGTCTGGCCCTTATACATGAAACATAAAAACAAGTTTTTATAACATAAAAACAAGGTCTCAGAGATGGTTTCACACAGCCTAGGACTGATCTTAGGCTTCCTAATGTTTAGATAAGATTGAATCAGCCTAAGGCTAATCAGACTCTGTAACTCCAGTCCTGAAGAGCCACAATTTGTGTTCCATCTGAGCACAGAATGAACTTAAGTAAATCCATTATTTGCTTAATAAGGAGGAGTTGACATGCTAGATCTTGCTAGATCCTGGTCCCAGAATAAGATAAGACTGTTATGATGGTTTCACTTCCCTGGTACCCAATGTCATTCGAATTCTGTACAATGGGAGGCTGGTTTTGGTGTGCTGGGCTTGTCCACTCAAGAAGCAGTTCAAAGGTAACAACTGTCAGTGCTCCTAAACAAAACTGAATAATGCTTGTTTCTTTCTCAGGGATATGTGGCGATTGGAAGAACTATTTCACAGTGGCCCAAGCAGAGCTGTTTGACTTTGTGTACAAGGACAAGATGAAGGATGTCAATTTCAAGTTTATGTGGGATGAAAATAATAACTGATTCCAGTGAACAGAAGCTTGTTGGCAATCCACACTTTAGCTGTTGTAATATAAAGTATTATTTCCTACTAACCTGTTTAATATATATCTAATATAATACTCCATTCTGCATGTCTATTATACCTAAACCCAAGTAATATATTCTTTCCATTTGTTCACATTACACATTACATTACAGTACATGGTGTATTATGACCCACAAGCTGAATTGGAGCTATTCCCAATAAAGGACGTCTTCTACAGAGTGACACTTAAATATTAAGAGACCTCAATACTGGACAAAGAGGAAATACATTCTTTAGGGCACAGAGTAAGAAAACCGAATGACATTTCTGGACTGTCTGTGAACCGTATGTGAATTTGTGAATGTGAATTCACAATAATTGTAATTCAGCTGTAACTTGTTTGTTATTACACCTGCAAACTGCTCAGCTGTTCTATTCCATTAATGTACATTGGAATCACATGAGAGCTTGACTTCATTGTGTCCTTAAGGTCAGTTTACAAACACAGATAAGGTGCATGTGACAAATTTTCATTATTCTTTACCTGTCACCGTTAATGTAATGAATGTCTTTTTTAAACCAGAAAGCTTATATGATATCGTAGTGTACTGTATGCCACTTGTTTTGTGTTTAATTTTCATAATCAAAAGAAAAGTAAAAAAATATTCATTAATTAAGGTAGTCCTCTACATGCCATATTACAAATGCCTGTAATTAGAATATGTTTACAAATTAAATATAACATGTTATTTCAATTAGGACATTTAAGTTTTGCATGTATTCATCCTATATATATGTTACTGTATATTCCATATTCATAACAAATTAGTATGTTGCTCATTAAAACCTGGCAGATTAAATTTCAAGTAGGGAAGTGCTGAGTGTTACATGCTGCAAAATGTAGATGATAAATTAAAAATGGGAAGCCCTGGGCTTTTTACTTCTGTAAAAAACATGAAAGTGATTAGTCTAGGCACTGTAAGGGGGGAGAAATAAATAAAATGTCTTTATATACATGGTTAAAAGCTTAGAATGTTAATGAAGTGAAGTTGTGCCATTTTTTTATTAAAAGATCACACTGGAACACCCCATTTAGAATATTGTGTACACGTTCGGTCGTCCTTTTGCAAAGAAAAAGGTATTGTGGACCTGGTTCGGATAAGAGCAACATGTACAGTACGTAATGGTACAATAAAAAGTCGTAAACCGAACGGCTAAAAGAACCGAATCTTTTGTTTTGAATGCAAAAATATTCTGACTCCAAGAGGAGTTGACAAACTCAACCCAACCCAACTTTTTCGTTCCGGGACAGACAGCTACGCCTCGGCCTTCCGTGCACCCTACACCTATTCTTAACCACATGTCTCTGCTGGCCAAACAGAGCTGGGTAAAATAGCGACTCCTAATATATGTAACTCCCCCTTCGTGACATAACAGGAAGAAGGAAAATTCAACTCTCTTCGTGCAATAAAGATGCAAACAGCTCATGTGCACATCATTCCGGATTATTGAGGTACATCATTTGTAAATTGCCCCCCTCTGTGTGTGACTGGAAAAACCTTTTTTTCTGTAGACTTGACATTTAAAATCTCACTGGTCTGTTGTGTCTGTGGAAGGAGAATGAATTGTCACGATGCGCGATGTTACAGTACTGATCGTTTTATACGAGAATTGGGGGTTTGAAGTGTTTGATATTAAGCACGTGGCGGTGGACTTAGTTTTTTTTAATCTGAAATTGTATCTTTTAATGCTGTGGGATTTATTTAGCAGTTAACCGAGGACAATAGTTAATGTGCAACGCAACAGACATCTTTAATTAAAAACATAAACGCTACTTGCAAAAAGAAGACGTTCTTATAATATCGTTGAAAAAGTAATGAAAAGGATTGTGGAATGACGTTTACGTTATGTGATGTTTTAAGTACCGAGTGTAAAACCGGTGTTGGACTTTAGTTCCAATCCAAAAGGGCAGCCTTAGTGTTCACAGATAAACTGGTTTATTATCCTTAAGGTCATCAATATAATGATCCTTTAATGTTAAAGGAAACCGAAAAGAATACTACCAATAACTTCTAGAACATCTGTTGCGAAAACAGCGGTATGCTCTTTTATCGGTTTCTCAAACTGGTAATGTAGAAGTAGAAACTAAACACAGGGCGCCAACTATTTTCGCCACAGACTCAGCGAGAGATCCGAGAGTGATTTTAAAAATCAGACCTGTGCAGAGTACAGCCATTCTTTTAGTAACATCTTCTGGGCTTAATGTTCACGACCTCAGACATACAGTAGAATGACTGAAACATGGTGTAAGAGTATTGATCTTTTAGCAGTATTGATTACATGCTCATATGATTTCAGTCTTGCAAGAATACTGGCTTCAGGTTTTCCATATTAGTCCTCAGATAGCTATCTTCTTTAAATCCATCCTCACATTCCTGGTTTCCAGTAACTAATGATAAAAATACATTAATTGCACTTTTGAAATTGTTTTGTTATGCTTGCATGTATATGTACTTCCATGCCAAAATACAGAGAAATACACCTGAATGTAAATTGGTCTACCAATTAGTCATTAGTGGCAATTGCAGCTCTAACATCTCAGCACTGAATCCACTAGGTGTTGAGAAATGTGGGACAGATGCTAACAGTTATAATAGCTTCTATAATGGCATACTTCTGTGAAGCCACTTATTGTACATGAGCATCATTTCACACTGACTAGAAAAGTATGGATATGATACTACTTTACAGACCGAAGAATCATATTACATGTGCTACTCTCACTGCTGTGGACAGGATAGGTAATTCCTAAGCAGCATACAGTATCTGTCTGTAATAATTTGATAGGACAGTGTGGCTTGATTGACCTTTTGGAATTGGTCCTCACACTGAATGCCTTTTCTTTCAAATAAACTCTTTTACCAGCAGGTTAGAGGAGTTTCCATGGGCATGAGGATGGGACCCAGTCATGCAAATATTTTAGTCAGCTGGGTAGAAGAATCCTTCTTTGCTTCCTATACCGGCTTTATCACTCCCCTGTACAGGCGATACACTGATGACTGGGTCGGTGCTGTCATATGCTCTAAGGACCAATTAGAGCATTTCTTGCATCACTTGACAAACTTTCGCATATCCCTTAAGTTTACAGTTATCATATCTTCCACTACTCCTCTGTTTCTGGACATGAACCTCTCCATGAATTGCCCACAACTCTCAACTTCTGTCTGTTACAGTCCCACTGACTCAGACAGCTATCTGCTAGATAGCCCCTTCCTCTGCACACACACTGTAAGTTCTTTCCTTTTTTTCGCAGGTCTGCAGGCACTAATGGCTATGCAGTGACGACACAGTCTTCCATTATCATGCCCTCAAAATGCACTCTTTTTTCATTGATAGAGGATATCCAGCACATGTTATTGATCTTGGGTCATCAACCCAAATAAGAATTCCCAGGCTCACAACTCCAACACCCTTCCTATTCCCAGGACCATCAATGACAACTTCCCCATCTTATAAATGGACCCTTCCACTGGAACCCTCTTTCCTGACCGCCCCATCATGTCATATTGCCAACCACCTAATCTTTGCAACCTTCATGTTCACAGGTCCCTTAACCACCCACAGCAACCATCCACACCAGGCACTTTTCCTTGCAACAGAATCCACTGCATCATCTGCAAATATTCAATACAACCCACATTCAAGGCTCATCTGGACCATTCCATGACACCCAGATGACATCATGTATTTCAAACATCCTCATTCACTGCAGGTCATGCAGAAAATGCCTAGCCATTTACATTGGTGAGACAGGAAGAAGGCTAGCAGACCGTCAGGCAACACGTCAGAGCTGTGAGGATCAAAGATCTCTCCAGACCTATAGTTCCCCCTTTTCACCTTTAACAATCAAGATATTTTTTGCTCTCTTTGTCTGTGCCCTCACACAGCAGTTTCAGAACTACTATTGCAGAAAGACATCCAAAATCAAAATAATTCCTAAACTTGGATCATACCTTTCTCCTTCTCTCAAAGACCGACTCATTTCCTTCTAAACCCTCTCTGTTCATTCGCAAATTAGGCTTTCCACACCTCTTCTCCTGTTCTTCCTTAATTTGGACACTCATTTTCACCGGCTTTATGCCCAACTCCTCCCTGCTCCCTGTCTCTTCTTACTTACTCTGTCTTTTTTCTCCTATGCTTCATTTATCTGCTACTTTCCCCTCTCTGCCTCGCACCTGAAGGTTCTACAGCCGAAACGTTGTTTCTTTACCTCTTAGCCTTGAACGAACCTTTACCTGTTCCAGTGTAGCTCAAGACAAAGTAAAGATGTTAAATCTGTACCTGATTCAAAAGTTAGCACATCTCTCCCAACTCCCTTGTCCACTAACCATGAAAGATAAAAGAACATATTGCACTTATCTTTATGGATTAATGTAATGTGCCAATATATCAGTAGAATGTACATTATATTAAATGTATAGTATTTAGACTGTATAAAGAAACTTATTCGTAAAACTTTGTATAACTGTTGTTCTCTTGAGTGGGACCTCACTTCATATCTGAGAGCTTTTAGAATGATTGTAGTGGGCAGTGTGTGATCAGTTGTATTAGTTAAAGATTGGATTATTTCAATGTTTGTCTTGTTTTATTCACTTAGTTAACATCATGGAGCAGCTCAAGGAAGAAATCCATCACCTTTGCTTGTGCTACCCTGAGGGTATCCCGATACTGAAGATTCCACTGGTTTACAGACAAACCTTCAAGAAGCAGCTTGACCTCGGCCTGCATGGCTTTGGGTCTCTGGAAGGCCTTCTTGAGGAGATGCTGGACAAAGTCTCCTTGCACTTTGATGAGAAAGGGGTGTGGGTACAGTCCGCATCCAGTCCAGAGGACTTCACACCACTGCTTTCCAGTCCACCTGAGTTGCCAGCAGCCATTCCACCACCAAGCCAATCAAGTTAGAGTTTTACTCTTAAATCACTTTAAGTGTGCTTTTAAATCAAGTTTTACTCTTTACAGGCTTCACAGATCCCCACTTAACATTCCTCTACTGTTAGCAGGCCTTAGTTAATCAGATCATCCTTCTCGTTCACACAGCAAACAGGAGAAGGGGAAGGGATGGGGCTGTGAGCTCCTAGATCTTACCTCTATCCAGCAGGCTGAGATTGGCCTTGTGAACTAAGATCCACCCATCAGCAGTGCTGATCCAGTTGTGCCTGCCTCTGTGTGATCACAGAGCTGCAGATAACAGCCCAGCAGCCCAGATTAAGACCAGGAAAGCCTGTGCAGGAAACCCATATGTAATTGGTATTGAATGACCCATGCAAATTATGCATCTAGAGCAGTGGTTCTCAAACTTTTTGGACCACGTACCACCCCTAATCCAACCGAAGCATCCAAGTACCACCTACAAGTCATCATCTCATAGGAACCCCAGAAATTCTCTATGACCAACATGAGCGCGCGTGCACACACACTCACACATACATATAATAAATATTATAATAATAAACTTTATTTGATATAGCGCCTTTAAA